AAAATTTCTGCTACCGGTTCTCTAGAACCTGCTGAATACCACCTCTGCTTGGCTTCCTCCTTGGGCTGAGAGCGTGACTGGCACCAGATCATCCAACTTACTTTGTGCCTAAGGTGGGACTAGAACTCATAGTCTTCTGCTTTCCAGTCTGTCTCTTAAACACTACAACAAACTACTCCATTAAAATATATCAACCAAACAAATAAACAAACAAACAAAACCTATAAAAACACAGAGCACCACAGATTCAATTAGAAAGATTTTTGCATGACTAGGGAGGGAGAATAGAGTGGGAACTAGTCTGATGTCCCAAATATCAGATGTTGCCAAATCTGAAAAGCTACTAAAAGAAAGTTCCCTATTGGAAGGACACCTCCTAAGGGCCTTAATGCCCAGGAAGCAGTGGTAGGATTCAATTTTTTTTACTACCGGTTCTGTGGGCGCGGCTTGGTGGGCATAGCAGGGAAAGGATACTGTAAAATCTCCAGTCAGAGGTGGCATTTGCCGGTTCTCCAAACTACTCAAAATTTCCGCCACCGGTTCTACAGAACTGGTCAGAACCTGCTGAATACACACCTCTGCCAGGAAGGCATTTATATAGAAAAGTTACTTTTCAAGGAGTTTCATCCAGGAGTGGACAAAGTTTCTGGGATTTGCGGCGCACATAGGTTGCTTGGTCAGTAATTCTGGGAGTTGAAGTCCACATATCTTAAAGTTGCTAAATTTGAGAAATACTATGCTAGAAGCCGGCACCAGCTTTCATTCTTTATGGGTTTTTTATATTAAAAGAATCCTTTCAAATTCAAGTGGGATAGAATGTGGTACCAGCCCAGTTTCTATCAGGCGGTACCATTTTGACATCTGTAGCTGCAGTATTTGATAATAAACTATAATCCATGTTACTTGGGAATTAAATAGGACACATGACTAGCAAAGAGTGAATTGGGAATTATGACATTTTCACCTTAATAAGAATTTATGAGACAAAGAACACATCAGTTTAGGTATACAACTAATAATAACTTGAATACTTCATTTACATGGAAGATTAATTTCATTAATGGTCATACTTCACTTACATGGAAGATTAATTGTCGTAATTAATACTGATACAAACTCAAGGTAAACCGCTCCAAACTCGATTGCAGGAAAGACGACTTCAGCAACAGAGTGAACAACATCTGGAATGCCCTATCAGACTCCATTGTTACAGACTCAACCCCTCACAGCTTCAACCTCAAACTGTCTACCGTGGACCTCACCCATTCTTAAGAGGTCCTTTAAGGGGGCATGCATAAGCGCAGCAGCGTGCCTACCGTTCCTGTCTTACTGTCCCCATTTATCTGTATCTACTCCCTTTGTTGTTGTTTATATTCATACTTATACTTGTTATTTTGTACAAGTTTGACAAACAAACAAACAAATAATCCAGTGGAGATTCCTAATAATAGGCAGGGGCAGATTATTTTCTAGTTTCTCCTTGCCTTGACAGTTTCTCCTGGGCCTCCTTCTTAGCCTTCTAGAGAGCTACAAGAGAGGTTTACCTTTTAGTTGTGCCAGGGGCAAATGTGGGAGAGAGAGTTAAGAGTTATGACCAGTTAAACAGAGATCTAAGATGCTGTGTGTACTATGAGGAATACATATTTGATGTTAGTATTGGAGGTTGCTTGGATGCTTTATGGACAATTTGTCTCTGATTTCCACAGAGGCAAAACACAAGAGCTACTAGAAAGGAGGGAAAATAAATAAACAAACAAAAACGGTCAAATATACTCAAAAGTATTTTGCTTCTCTGAAATCCTGCCTCTTGCTTCTTTTGGGCTTGTTCAAAAATATGTGACACAGTCATTAGAAGATGGTCTGTTCACAGTCCTTCAGATTCCCTCCATATGAAGAAGTCAATTCTATTCCAGAAGGCATGTATATTTGATTGGTACCAGTTCTATTTTTTCTGGTTGGATGACTAAACGGAGGGACCAATCTACTGTATAACTAATTGGTGGTTTAATTTGGTCTCTAAATTATGTATATTCAAAACGTATCAACTGGTCATAGATGAAAATAAAATTTTCATCCTTTTCATCTATTACTTCATTTCCCTTTCAGTGATCATATATTCAATCCAGAGGTGGTATTCAAAAGGTTCTGACCAGTTCTGAAGAACCAGTCGCAGAAATTTTGAGTAGTTCAGAGAATCGGCAAATGCCGCCTCTGATTGGCCCCACCCCCATCTCTTCTCTGCCTCCCGAGTCCCAGCCGATCGGCTGGGTCTTCTTTCGTTGCCCTGCACAGGAGAACGGAGCTGGAAAGCAGGTTAGTGGAGTGGGGAGGGAATGGGATTTTGCAGTAACCTTCCCGTGGAGTGAGGTGGGAATGGAGACTTTTACAGTATCCTTTCCCTGCCACGCCCACCAAGCCATGCCACACCATGCCTACCAAGCCATGCCCACAGAATGAGTAGTAAAAAAGTTTTAATCCCACCACTAGCTGATAATGTCTTTAGCCAGAAAGTTATTGTAATAAAACCATAGTGATGTGACCAATGATAATAGCAACAATATTATCACTTTGATAAGAATAGCAGCTAAGTAGAAAACTAAATACTACCGTTTCTACACTCCAGTTCCCTTTCAGTCTCGTCTGATTATGCTTCTGCCTTCATATGAAGCTTTATTGCTTGCTGCAAAGGCATGGCCAATTGCAACATGATAATGGGTGTCCTATGTAATAAACAGAAGATGATATTTTCATGACCTCATAGAAACTGTTAGCTGCTGTGTTGCAAAGTTCACAGAGTCACTGTCCTTCATATCATTTGAGATCTAACTTCATGATTTTTTCCTGAAGTCTCATGCGATCAGTCTGATAGATGAACCATTCTTAGAATCAAAGAGAGCATTTGTTTTTTTTTGTTGATAGTCCTCAAAACTCAGCCATGAGTTTCTGCTGGGATGGCTTGAATGGCATGAAAACAGGATCGTGAAATGGCAGTGATTCTGCTGCTTCCAGGTCGGAAGATTCTATAACAGGGGGCTCAAGGCCCAGGAGGTGCTGAGATCTGGCCTGTGGGGCTGCCCTGGAAAAAGTGACGAACGAGCCCACAGTGCCTCTGCCAGCAAAAACGAAGCTCGGGAGGGCTGCCCATGGCCCTCCTGAGCTCCGTTTTCACTGGCAGAGGGTTGCAGGAGGCCCTCCCAGCCGAAAATGGAGCTCAGGAGACCGTTTTTGCTGGCATAGCGCTCAAGACACCACAGGTGCCCCCCGGCACAAGTAATGCCCATCCTGGCCACATCCCCCCACACCCCCTCCCTGAGGTCAAACACAACCCTGATGCGGTCCTCAATGAAATCGAGTTTGACACTCCTGTTCTATAACAGTCTATTCTCTTCAAATCCTTTACTTTAAATCGGTTGCTTCTTTTATGAATTGGGATTTGATTACATTGGTGGAAGTGAATAATGTGTGACTTAAGGTAGGAATAAATTAACCCTACAAACCCATAGATGGCCAATATGTCTATTCTGGATGGGGTCATATTATGTACAGAGGATTATATTTACAGCTGAGAAATATCCAGAATCCAGCATTATTGCTGGATACCAGAAGGAAGTCATGGCTAGAAGTGTTATTCCATTAAATTTTAACCATCCCCGCTTTGTAGAAGAATCTGATAAGATGCCTATATGCGAGTGGTGATGCAATGTCCAAAATAATAAAAGTGGAAGTTTTGACTTTCTTATACCTTCCCCTTGCTGGCATGCCTACTTTCACCATCGTTTAAAATTCTCATTGCTTCATAACCCCATTGCTTCTGTTCAGTCATGTCCAATTCTTGGAGATTGCCTGGATCAGTTCTTACAACTTTTTTGGCAAATTTTTTTTCTGAAGTGCTTGCCATTGCACCCTTTCTAGGGCTGACAGAAAGTCACTGGCCCAAAGTCATTCAACTGGCTAAGGCAGGATTAGAATTCATTGTGTTCTGGTTTCTAAGTTGATGCCTTAGCATCAACATCAGCCTAATGGTTCTCAGCCTAATTTTATTTAATGAAGTATAAAGTATAATTTCAAGTTTATTGTGGATTCAAATTCAGGCTACCCAAATGGTCTTACTTTAGATCATTAAGAGTTTGTCCTTTTCTCTGTCTTTGATGCTGTTTAAATTGCTAAATCCATTTATATTAACATTAACCCAAAAACAACAACAGGCTGTTTGGGAGATGACCTTGAAGAAGGGATACAAGAACTGTTGAGGTCAATTTAGCTGGAGGA